TGAATAAATTAAGTGTATTGAGTTTATATGGTTGATAGGAAGTGCATAAGTAAAGAAAGTGTGCTGTGGTGGCGTGCTGGAGGAGGTAACGGGTAACCGGCGAGTGGAATTAGCTAGATACGCACCTGAATCAATAGTGATGTAGTGTTCCGCTATTGTGAGGTGAGTAGGGGGTGCCTATTTTAAAAATCTCTGTGCTATATATAATGATTTATGCTAGTAAGTATTGAAGGTTTTCTTAAGAGCATTTGTGGATAGCATGAGCTATTAGCCTTGATAGGCAATTTTGAATGGATTTACAATAATTTGTATATTGCTGTTGTGGAAAGCATGAGCTGGTAGAAACCATAGGAAGTTTGTGGATGCAAGTGTTTTTAAAGTAATTTGGATATACCTATAGATAAACTATACATGTAAAGAGTTTTAGAAATCGGAAAACAAGCCTTTCACGATGTTTACATCAAAATCTGTGCCTTGTATTTTTGTGTGATATGCATAGCTAATGCATTTACAAAAATGATTTAAAATGCAAGTTTTAAGCTTCGGTTTTAGCCCGATTTGTATATAAATATTTACACCATGACATTTAGCTTGGAAAGTAATTTCAAAGGGGTTATCAAACCTTGATTTGAAAGGATTTAAAAGGAAAAGCCTTGTAAAATCTGATTTGGTTTTAAAAATGGTTTTGATAAACTGAGAGCGTCGAGAGTAGGTCGACTATCACTTCAGTTAAGTGTGACCCTTGTGCACAAGTGAACTCTAGCTAAAGAACCTTTGGGTCACCGACGAGCTGTTAGACATGGCTAGGGCCATAATCTGTGATATACGTGGCAAGGCCACGAGTTGTATATATGGCTAGGCCATAAGTGATATTCACAGTTGTGATCGCTTGATTTCTCCGATGTCGGTCAACATTGTTGAGATTGCCATGGCTGTGGGGATTCGGTGGAGTAGAGCTCCCGGATGTTATTACATGGAAATGGGTCCATAGGTGATTACTATACTTACCTACTCGAAAGCCTTGTGAGTTTTTGGCGCATACTCTTTTGCATGGTGGAGATTTGAGGTTTCTTTGCAGATCCCCTAGTTTGAATAAAAGCTTTT